CCAAGTGCCAGAGCAGCCCGGCGCGGTGGGGGCAGGTCCTGAGGGACCAGACCCACAGCAGGATCGGTCGCGGGGTTTGAGCCATCGGGCAGATATCGGGGTGGGCTGGATCTGCTGGGGGAGTCTCAGTGGGGCCGCAGCTGGAGTGCTGGGTTCCGTGTTGGGCCCCTTGCTGTAAGAAGGACATGGCGGTGCTGGAGCGTGTCCAGAGAAGGGCAACGGAGCTGGGGAAGGGTCTGGAGCACAAGTGTGCTGAGTTCCTGGCTGAGGGAACTGGGGTTGTTGAGCCTGGAGAAAAGGAGGCTGAGGGGAGACCTTGTGGCTCTGTGCAAGTCCCTTGGAGGAGGGTGGCGGGAGGTGGGGGTGGGTCTGTTCAACCAAGGCCCAAGGGACAGGACAAGAGGAAATGGGCTCCAGTTGTGCCCAGGGCAGTTGAGATGGGATGTGAGGAAGAATTTCTTTGCTGCAAGGGTTCTGAGGCATTGGAAGGGGTTGCCCAGGGCAGTGGTGGAGTCCCCATCCCTGGAGGGATTGAAGAGTCGTGTAGACACAGTGCTGAGGGACATGGGTTAGTCGGGGACTGGTCAGTGTTGGGTTCATGGTTGGACTCGATGAGCTTAAAGGGCTTTTCCAATCGAGGTGATTCTGGGATTCTGTGACCCCGGCAGGGAGTCCCTTGGCCAGTTCCTGGTGCGTAACTGGTTTCCCCATCTCTAGCTGGGTGTTGAGTTTGGGTCCTGTTGGGTTTTGAGGTGAGTTTGGGCTCTGCCTTGGCTGAGAAACCCTGTTAACATCAGAGGACTCGGTGGTGGCCCTCTTGGCAAGGTCAGCCGTGTGTCCAGAGAGGTGGGCTGAGAGCTGGCCCCGCAGTTTGTGCCCCCCAATCAGCTGTGTCAGGAAAAGCTGCTTCTGTAGGTTGTGGACAATGCTCACAGCTGTGACTTCTCCCTTCCCTCTGCCCCATCCCCTTCTCACAGAGTCCAGGGTCTGCTTTGTCCCTCCGGAGACTCCTCAGGTCGAATCCAACCCTCCATGCTGCCTCACGCTGCAGGAGAAGCTCCTGTCCCACTACAGCAGCCGGCTGGCCGTGCCCGAGGTGCAGGTGTCCCTCGCCCTGCAACTGGCCAGAGGAATCTGCATCCAACTGCAGAACTTCCTGCGGAGCAAGTGCCCGGAGCTGCCCTTCAGCAGCCTCTTCCTCAGCGGTCCCCTGCTCGATGGCCTTGGGGCTGTCACAGCTGACCACATCCACCTCATGCTGCCAGTGGTCCTCGACACCACGCTCTGGAGCCTCATCCCAGGAGAGGACACCGTGGTGAGGAACCCCCAGTATTGGATGATCAAGAGGACTGATCTGGAGTATTTCCCTCGTGGGTGCAGCCCCTGGGACAGGTTCATCGTGGGTCGGTACCTCTCCTCCAACGCACTCATTGAGACCCTCCACAAGATGCTGGTGGCCTCCATCAACTGGCCTGCCATCGGTAGTCTGCTGGGGAGCATCATCCACCCGGTTGTGGCCTCCCAGGAGCTGAAGCTGGATGTCAAACATGATCAGGTCAAGCTGAGCATCACCCTCTTCCCAGTGGTGGAAATGGAACATAAGGTTCTTCTGGCTGCTCCTCCTGAAGGACTGGTGGAAAACCTTTGGCTTGAGAGCTTTTACAGGGCAGAGGTGTTGAAGGTGAAGGAGCTGGATGCTGGTGACCACGGGGCTCGGCAGCGCTGCCTGCGCATCCTGAACGGCGTCTGCAAGAGCCACCCCACCCTGCACAAACTGAGTGGCAGCCCCCTGACCCACGTCATCCTTCACCTCAGTGCCACCAGTTTAGACTGGGCAGAAGAAAGCCTTGCTGACAGGTTCCTGGAGGTGCTTGAGGAGCTGGTAGGTTACTTGGAGAAAGGGGTCCTGCCTTCTTATTTCAACCATAAAATCAACCTCTTCTGCGAGCTGTTGGAGGAGGAAATTGATGAGATGGGCTTCATGCTCTACAGTGCCATATCTGAGC